TAAGGTACGCCACAACCAGATTTATTTGTACCACTATACGAAGCGTTTCAAAACGTGGAGCACACGCCCCACAGGGGGGCAATCTGATTGTTTAGGCGGGAAATTTGAACAGGAGCTGTATAGAATTTGAAATCCAACCGTCTAATGTGATTTTAACTTGTATTTAAAAAAGGAGAATCATTAGAGATCTTAACTCATTTCCAAAATTAGGTGAAGCTCATACTATAGAATAGTGTCACGGAACGGTGGTTACGAAGGAGGGCTCCAGTACTAACCTACGAAAAACTAAATTGACTTAGTAGTGATCAGTACAGGATCGCTTCTCTCTATCATTTATATTTTGAGTATGTAGGCTTTTGGACAGCAAAGCTAGACTTGAATCAAAGCTTAACAGCTTAAACTCCAGGTGTCCTGATAGTAAACGAGAATGTACTTATACTAAATTACAAAAAAGCCTTCCTATTGCTTTCACTGACTGTGTACTGCGTATGAATGTTTCTAAATTTTGTCAACTGTATCCCTCCAAATACTCCTATGTCTGTTAGTCCACTGTCGTCTCTTGACATCTCTCGGCTGTTACCTGCCTAGATCTCCACGCCTTTCAAGTGTACCCAAACGTATAGCGTATGTCTTGCCCTCAAGATACGAGAAAGTACCCACTGTCAAGGTCATGAAATCATGAGGTAGTGTGTGTGTGTGTGTGATGACTTGAGGACGAATGCGGATTGTGAACTTATTTCATGTCACGGGCGAATGATAGTGGAGTGAACGAGGCAGGAGATTTGGGGTATAAAGGGTTCACAGACGGGAGAGTGAGAGGAGAATAATTATTATGTCACGGGGGGATTACGTTCACAGAGGAGAGACGAGAGATAGGACTCGCTACAGCGAGACGTCTTTTTTTGGAGATAGTGGAATTTTGTAAGGATATGTTTGCTGATTGGAATATTGCCAAATACTTTGGATTTATGTTCACTAAACTGTGAGACGGATTAATCTAGTACTGCTGTCAGCAAATAAATGTCTTATGTACCTTGAAGCGTATTGTTTTGATGAATCAAACGAGTCTGTTGTGTGACAAGATTTACAAGACATGTAAACAAAAAGCGAGAATCATAAACCCAGACAACGAGCCAAATATTCAACTACTAGAATATTTGACACCCACCACTTGAGTACCACGGTTAATAGCTTGCTACATTAATCAAGACTTCATTCTCCCAACCAGATTTATTTCCCGGACACCTACTTTTTCTATATATTAAGGGCCCACGATCCTTTTTTTTTATCAGTTTGGCTCCTATGCATGTAGAGGTATTTACAATGTCTCTGTGCCTGGTATTGACGAGGATATTTCATTGATTGCAAGTGCCATTGTGCGAGGGAATCATGCACTGGGGGTTTGAAAGCTTGAGGCAATAGACACAAATGTGTCTAGTGTTGTCGCCTCTTTGGTGAAATGACTTTTATATATGGGGTGTAAGAACAACTCTCTGATGAGTGTCATATCTGCTTGTGTCTAGGGGTATTTTGTCATGTCGATTTCACACACTAAGTGTCATAATTACGCACTCATTTTTACCGTAACTAACAAATAATTTATAACACCATTTAATAAGTGAAATGACATATTTATTGACATGTACAGGTATTTATCTAAGTTCTAATATATTATGAACAATGACCTCCCGTATAGCCTATGTATCATCATAAATATTCCTTTGCTCTGTATTTCAATCGTATATACTCAGACCTTTCACAATGTATGAGTCACTCGTACTGATATTCGATGGGGATGTGGCTCCTCCGATTCTTCACTCCGTGGCTTTTCAAGACTCATCGCCTCTCAGGGTTGACAGAACGGCAGGTTATGAAGCATCTCTTATGATATGGTTAGATCATTCACAATAGTAAGATAACTTCAACATGGAAGTGGATTCTTGGGTTCTGACCTTCGTGGCTTCTTGGGGCGTTCACGCAAGGGGGCGAAACAGAAATGCAATGCTACAGAATTACGTCAAGTGTTAAGTGAATTCTTTAATTCGTTACTGTTGTGTTGGACACGTTTCCCTTGCTTAAAATTTGCTTGACCCCAAATTAGCTTCCTAGCAGACGCTACGTTCATAGATGGGCGTGGCTTAGTTCTTTTGATCTTTCGTGTTTACCAATTAAACATAGTTAGTTTGTCTCCTATTATTATCTTATGGAACTTTCTCGATTTGACGAGAAACGGAAAAAATGTCAAGGGCGTTTCTAGACGCGTCGGTTTACCCACTATATAAATATGGGGTTTCGGAGATTGCGAGAGATTCGGATATATATTTTTAACTGCACGAGACGTGTATTATTCTTTGTGTACTCGTATGTGTTTATTCGCATTCGTCATTGTACATTATTAATTGACACATTGTACTTATTGTGCACCGGTACAAGATCTACCACTCTCTGTAAGTTGATGATTTGTAATTATAGTTCTTTTAATTTATAATTATATTAATACTTAAATAAATTTTATTAATTGTAATTAGTACTGTTTTGGGTGTCGTAATTTTGCTATTGTTTTCTCTATGGTATCGTCCTTTGTTGTGCACTTTTTGAACGAGCCATAACTTAAAACAAGATATTAATTTCTCACAATAGAAGCCAGTGCGTAACAGTTACGTCGTGGGTTTTCAGGGCTCAGCGCTTTTCAGGACGTTCACATAGCTAGATGTTACGGCAATACAATGCAGAGATTCATTCACTGTGGAAATGGACTCTTCATCCTACGTACCTCGTGGCTTTTCAGGTCGTTCACATAGATCGATGATATCAGTCACAACTGTACCTTATGGGATTACTCTTCCCCAGTTCGCTGTGGTAGGTGTATGTAAGACTTCTCTTTTGGGAGTAAAGTCCATCAGCACGAGGTCCTTTCGTTACAGTCAATGAATTGGTCTTCCAGAGGTGGCTCCTTGGTGGGGTTCGTAGACTCGTACCTCAGTGCACGGATTTCTCAATTCAGATGCTAATTTAAGGTTGACTATAATGCAGTGGTAAGGTGATCTAGCAGGCAGCCTATATCTGAATGATTATAAAAGAAAAGAGGAACAACTTTCCTAATATTCTCGATCTAACAAATCTCTTTCCAATGGCAACGAATTCGCACCAAGGCTTAAAAGGAGATATAATCTTTACAATGTTAATATCCATTGAGGATATTCTTATTTGTCTTCACATTGGCGGCGCAAGCGAGGGTGGCTAAGTCGACACATGGTAAAGATTTTTTTTTTCATACACAATTATACAATGACTTAATAATATACAGACTGCATTAATATGATATATCCAATTAACTGTAATGGATAACATAAGAGCTAATGACTATCCTGTGGCTACATCACCATCCATACGATGGAATGAATACTAGAAAATCAAAACTCAAAATGGCGAAACGTGTCATATGATGAAGGCACGTGTCAAACATTGAGAAAATATAAAGTACAAATGAATTAACTAAATTCATTCTAATCAGAGTTATAATACATACATTAAAAGATCAAATGTTTAACCAACTATATAAATAGTAATACAAATATTCAAATAAAGAAATGAAATCGAAATGTTCGTTTAACGCACTAAGTTAAGACAAAGCCAGCTTTTCGGTGCTCTAAGTAGACTGCTGTCTTAAGAGTCTAACTCGAAAAAAAAAAGAATTTTGTTCTGCAACGGCTTTAATGATGATTCTATTCTAATTTTTTATTGGACAATTACCATCTTGTGATATTCGAGTCCAATGTACTTAATGTATTTGATGCGTGACATAATGGTTCACCCAAAATGAGACATTGGTCAGCGTTTGTTTTCTTGACACTTTTCTTGGTTCGATTCTTGGTTAAGTCCATGGTTCAGTCCACAGTTTTAAATATTTAACAGTTCTATTGACTTTTCTCGTGAGGTAGACGGTGATGGGGGGAAATTGCTCGTCATGACCTTGAAAAAAGTGTAAGTAGGTCGTCGTCTGTAAATGGAAAATTTTAGATCAGCTCCATTTCGTAACAGCCTCAAGTGTTCTTTTTGAAAGCTTGTTCCAGTCCTTGATTGTCTTGTGCAGGAATGTGTTGTTCCTATCCTGACTTCTTGCTGGTTTGAGCCGCAATTGCCTGTCATGGCCTCGTTGCTGTCCATGGGGGAGATTTTCTGTTTATTACTGGAACAGTGGACTAGCCCTATTATTTATCTTGTACATCACGGAGAGCCTTGAATGTCGTCGACGTTCCTCCGATGGTGACCAGCCTAGTGTTTCCAGCATTCTGCCAACACTAAAAGGTGTCTCTTTTTCCACTCTCTGTCGCACGTTTCTTCCTCTCTAAGACGACACACTAGGTGGAGATTTTTTTTAATCAAGAAGGGCAGGCCGCACAGGTAAAATTCTATTTCTATACTGTTGTTGTGTTTATGGGGTTATATTTGAAGATTTGCTGTACAGTTTCGCGATACAGTCAGTTTTCTTTCCTGATTGGTCTCCGATGGCGCAATCTGTTTTATTTTACTCTCGGCTTGATGGCCTATTGAAAGGCTTGTGGGTGTGCAATCAGAGCTTCCTTCTCCTAAATGAGCCAACTTTCAATGTTAGCGTGTTCCATGCACTCGGATTGCTTGTATTGATTTTTCTCGTTAATTCTTACATTTAAAATCCATCAACACCACTTTACTATAAAGTCAACTGGTAACTTAATGTAAATGTTAATAGATATATGACTGTGTTTTTATGTTTTTAAAAAGGACTACTAAATTTGTTATTGAGACACATATGATGTAGACCTAATAAAATGTATTAGTAATGATACTATTCCTTTCTTCTCTATCCGCAGCTCAATGGTGCCAACAGGTCCTGTGATAAAGCCGACCTAACCTTGCTGAGGGCCCTATACGACAAATTGTTCAACCTCAGCAACTGTAGCACCCTTTCGCAGCCCGGGTCCGGCGAGCGGGACTTGGCCTGGGTCATCGGCCACCTCTTCCACGCTTACTTCACGCCGTTCGTGTTCGTCGTCGGCATCATCGGGAACTGCCTGTCCCTGGGAGTGTTCCTCTCGAAGAGCATGCGCCACCTGTCAGCCAGTACCTATCTCTCGGCGCTGTCTGTCACAGACCTCATTGCCCTGCTGTTCTACGTCCTCGTGGAGTGGCTCATCCGGGGCTACCCCGTGATCAGCTCCAGCAGCTCTCCAATTACCTTCATAAACTTCACCGGCATGTGCCAGGTGATCATGTACCTGCACTACGTGTCGAGGTTCATGTCCTCGTGGCTGGTCGTCGCGTTCACCATCGAGCGCTACATCGGCGTCTGCCACCCGTTTCGCCGACGGCACATCTGCTCTCTGGCTGTCACGCGGAGGATCGTCATGGGCATCGTAGTGCTGTCCTTTCTATTCAACATCTTTAAGCCACTGCTCAGCGTCGTCCAACACGTGGATCTGCACGGACAGATGTGCACCACGGACCCCAGGCACCGGTTGCTGTCGTTCATCCTCGACTCGTTCTACGCCGTGTCCATCACGTTCTTCCCATTCGTGGTCATCACGGTGTTAAACATCTGCATCATCCGGCAGCTTTACCTCCACAACCGCCAGCAGAGAATTTTCCGTGTGGTCACGCAGGTGAGCGTCATCCACCTGGAGTTCACCTCAATCCTGCTCGTGGTGTCCTTCTGCTTCATCGCGTTCAATCTGCCCTACTTCGCCACCTGGTGCAAACTTTTCCTCACCTCCAACTTCATAAGGCTCTCGAAGGTCGAGGAGCTTCATGATCTTGACTACTTCCGGGGCGTGGCCTTGTTTACGCGCGCGATCTACTACGCGAACTACTGCATCAACTTCTTTCTTTACTCCATCACGGGGGCGTATTTCAGGCGCGGGCTCAAGAACCTGTTCGTCTCCGACTCCCGCAAGAAAATGGTTGCCTGTGGCATGCTCCGGCGGAGAAGACGGTTCTCAAGTTTATCGACGAACGGCAACCCAGTCGCTTCGAAAAGCTCTGACGGTAAAGAAAGCGTGAAGTACAACGGTCAGCCGTCTGTAAATGACACGTGGGTTTAAAAAGCATAAGCTAGTTGTGCCTTTTTTTTTTTTTTTTTTACTCACCCACTTCCATTCAGATTGTGTGTTGAGCCAGGTTTCTGTGTGACAAAATATCGGGGAAATAATTGCATAAAGTAATGATTTAAACATTGTAAGTAAACAAAAAGAAACAAATATTGAATAACATCACTATCAGACTTCTTACCCCCCACCTGTTACAATGCATGCAATCGAAATTATAATTAACTAAAGCCGTGGAGAAAAAAAAAACTTTGCTTTCCTGAAATTAATACTTTTCAATTTTGATTCAAAGATAATGTCTTTTTTTTTTAAATGTAGTAACAAATAAATGAAATTAACTGAAATGGTTTACTTGATCAAGCTTTCAAATCGAACGACCGCCCAAGTTGATACATTACAAAGAGGCGTTAAAAGACTTTATGATTCGATTTTTAGCAGACCGGAATAACCGATAGAGCACACGTTTCAGACATAAGGAGCACAAGGTTTGTATATATGGAGCAAAAGGTTCACACAGGGTATAAATTGCATTGTTGAGTATGATCAGAAAAAAAATGTCATAATAGTTTAGATTTTGGCTAATCCTAGTTACTATTGCCACGACTTATTTTTCCAGGCAGTGACTACCATTTCTTTATTTTTACTAAATTATTTTAGGGATAAATTTAGGGTTCAGTTTAGGCGTAGGGATTGATTTGGGGTTGAGGTTAGGCGTAGGGATCGTTTTATGGTTAAGGTTAGGCATAGGGATAGATGACTTCACGTGACGTGTTAATCAAGATGGCAGCCATTGAGAAAATAGTGGCAATCGTTGTCAAAATTTACAAAGCATTTTTTTTTTTTTTTAAATTTTTAAACAGGGGTTCTTTTGCGTGCGGGAGTCAGTGTCAGTGGTGTGGGAAGACTCTGAAAAGCTGGGAAGTGGAGAAGCGTTTTATTTTAGAATTTTGATGGTGAGGTAGGCGTGAAATATATTTTGAAATCAAGTGGGGCTGCGGCGCTGTAAACATGCTTCAGCAGCCCTGCGTTAGTTATTTATGTATCCATAAACTTCAAACGGTCTTCTTAGGGAAGTTATAGAATGGTTTTCTTAGGGAATCGGAAAGCTACCCAGGTTGATAATATCCTCGGTTACACGACGTCCTAATATATGGCCGAATAAGTGAGGGGTCAAAGTTCATGTGAATCACGTTGATGTAAGTTATAGTGTAAAAGTGCTGTAAAAGAGCATACAGGTTCTCAAGATATTGGGGCTGATGTAAGAATTGGTGAAGTTAGTAATGCTTACACAAGTTAAGTCTTCAAAATATATGTTGATTTTTCGAGTATTCAGTCTCATGGACAGTCTCAAAGGTGACTTGATTTTGCTATTTGTATTTCGTCGATTAGTTTTAAAATGCTTAATAAACAGATGCTACAGAAGAAGAGTGGAATCCATTGTCTTACTATTAACGTGAAATTATGGAATACATGACATTAAGCAGGTTCTCATACGACGTAAGCCTAAATACTTCAGTACTTGCACTTGATAGGGGTCTTAATCAGGGGGCGATAGGGGTTATTATATTTTTTGGTAAGAGTTGAAAAGTGGGGTAATACAAGATTAAAATTGAAGCAAATAACTTGTCCATCAAGAGCGTCTTGTGGAAGAGAGGAAACCTAAGATATTTAGATGGGCAAGTGTACATGTGTAGGAACACTGTATAGAAACATTTAGATGCGCGAGTTAATTTTTTGAGGAAAATTGAAATTGTTTATTACTTGGGTGTATATGTGATGAAGATATGTTTGGAAACGAGTGTTAAAATGTGAGGGAAAGTGACATTTTAATTACATGGGTGTATATGTGAGGGAAAAGTGTATATATGTTTAGATACAAAGGTGACAACGTGACGGAAATTTACATTTTAATTACATGGGTGTATATGTGGGGGAAATGTGTAGATATGTTTAGATACCAGGTGGACAACGTGAGGTAAAGTCACATTTTAATTACTTTGGTGTATTTGTGAGGGAAATGTGTAGACATGTTTAGATACCAGGTGGACATCGTTAGGGAAAGTGACATTTTAATTACATGGGTGTATATATTTGAGGGAAATTTGTAAATATGTTTAGATACAAGGGTGACAACAGGAGGGAAAGTGATATTTTAATTACATGGGTGTATATATGTGAGGGAAATTTGTAGATATGTTTAGATACAAGGGTGACAAGGGAGGGAAAGTGACATTTTTATTACTTGGGTTTATATGTGAGGGAAATGTGTAGATAATTTTAGATACAAGGGTGACAAAGTGAGGGAAAGTGACATTATCAATTACATGGGTGCATAAATGGGGAAATTTGTAGCTATGTTTTGATCATCATCAATGGCACTACAGCCATGTAGGGCCCTGGCCTGCTCCACCACATCCTTCCATTTGGAGCGATCCATGGCTTTCCGTCTCCATGCTCGAACCCCCAACTGGTGTAAGTCTTTCTCCACGTTATCAATCCACCTCATCCTTGGGCGACCGATGAGTCATCTGCCCCTAGGCTTCTGCCTGTATATAATTTTGGCTGCTTTGCATTCCGGCATCCTTTCAACATGTCCTGCCCAGCGTATTCTGCCTTTTTTATCATTGTGACTATGGGTGGTTCTTTATACAAATAGTAAAGTTCTTGGTTTGTACGTATTCTCCAGGTATCATTTTCTATCACTGGTCCGTATATTTTGCGGATGATTTTCCTCTCTCATGTGTTGAGCAGGTTCTCTGCTTTTCTGGTGAGGGTCCAGGTCTCACTGGCGTATGTTACTACAGGTCTTATGATGGTGGTTTATATTGTCTTCTGTGTTCCCCTTGATAAGTTTTTGTTTCCCAGTAGCTTTTGTAGACTGAAATAGGAAGGGTTGCCTGCTGTTATCCTTTCTTTCACCTCTGACATTATCTCATTGTGCTCATTTATAGTTGCCTCTAGATATTTGAATGAGTCCACTCTCTCAAATTTGTGGTTGTTTATATTGATTTTATCATCCGCATGGCGGTTTCTTGACATTATCATATATTTTGTCTTCGGTGCATTTATATCAAGGCCAGCTTTGAATGAGGCATTTTCAATTTCGCTGAATGCTTTAATTATGTCATTACGGTTTCTACCCAGTAGTGCTATATCATCTGCATATGCCAGGCACTGCAATGGTTGGCTATATAAGGTTCCTGATGGTCGTTACTCTATAGTATTTCTCTGGAAATAGTTTAATATGGTTCCACTGGTGCTAATGTGAATGCTTCTAAAAACTTTTTCTAGCGTGATGTTAAACAGAATACATGAAAGTGAGTCTCCTTGTATGAGGCCCCGATTAACTATGAACTCCCTAGAATATTCTCCCTGAACCTTGATTCTGCTTTTGGAGTGGGCCATTGCCATGTGTATGAGCCGAGTAAGCTTGTTAGGGTCTCCAAGTTCTTGTAAAGCATTGTATAAGAAATTCCCGTTTACGCTATCGTATGCTGTTTTGTAATCCACATATAGTTGGTGTATGTCGAGGTTATATTCGTAGCATTTCTCCAGGAGACATCTTATAGTAAAAATATGATCCGTGGTTGACCTATTCTGTCGGAATCCACATTGATAGTCCCCTAGGATCTGTTCACTATACTTTTCCAATTTTCTCGTTAAAAGTTTTGTGAGGATTTTGCACATTACATTAAGAAAGGAGATAGCTCTATAGTTTGAGCATATCAACTTAGATCCCTTTTTGTGCATTGGGATTATGAGTGCCGTGTCCCATTCAGTTGACATTTCTTCCTCCTGACAGATTCTGGTTATAAGTTCATGTATTTGCCTATGCAGTTCGCTACCACCTAGCTTTATGAGTTCTGCAGGGATGAGGTCTAATCATGGGGCTTTGTTATTTTTCATGGTGGAGATTACATCTTTTATTTCATTTAAAGTTGGTTGGTTGACCAGTGGGTACGGTCCTCCTTGTGGCGGGGCGTAATCCTCATTGGTTCCTCCACCTGAGCCATTCAGTAGGCCTTCAAAGTGTTGTGCCCATATCTCTCCAGTACTCTACTGCTCACTGTGATCATTTCTCCATCCGTGCTTTCACATATGATGGGATCGTGCTTGAAAGCCATTCTTTTCCTGCTTTATCTTCAGGTGCATTCCCCTCACATCTCTTTCTTTTGCCAACTCTTCTATCTCTACTTTTTTTTTATTTTTATCAAACACGTTTTTTCTTTCTGCAAATTTTGCTGGCTACCCTGTATATATGGGGAAATGTGTAGCAATGTTTTAATACCAGGGTGAAAATCTGAGGGAAATAGCTTTTTTAATTATTCTGGTGTTTATGTGAGGGAAATGTCTAGATATGTTTAGTTATGTGGGTGAACATTTTGGAGATACGTTCTTATGGCTGAGAGTACATGTTATAAGGAAACTAGATGGCTAGGCGTACCTGTGAGGGGAGTGTTGATGAAGATGACAAGGGAAAAGTTAAGAAGGATGGCGTACACACAAATGAATTGTTTCAAATAGTCTAGTGATAAGGAAATGAAGGCGCAGTATGGAGAATGCTTTAAGAAGGGTGTTTGAAATGATAATCTCTGTTTGAGGAAAAGGGACGTGTCAAATGGTGATCTTTGTTTGAGGAGAAGGGACGTGTCTAATGAGGACCTTTGTTTGAGGAAAAGGGACGTGTCAAATGATGATCTTTGTTTGAGGAAAAGGGACGTGTCAAATGATGATCTTTGTTTGAGGAGAAGGGACGTGTCTAATGAGGACCTTTGTTTGAGGAGAAGGGACGTGTCTAATGAGGACCTGTGTTTGAGGAGAAGGGACGTGTC